ATTAATATGATCTCTTTATTAAGAACACAGCTGAGGATTTTAGCTTCTTCTCAAGTGTTGATTTAGAAAGATCCTTTAACGAGATTCAACCTAAATGCATAAGAAAAGATAATTATTAAGCAAGATTACGAAATCTACATCAATTTGAGTTATATAGATTCAAAAAACTAAATTTACAGACTGGAGGCTTCAACTCAGGTGAGCAATGAATATAATGGACAAACTTGAATCAAAGATAAACAAGAACTTGCCTCATAGCTTGACAAACCATCTTTCTCATTGCAATGTTTATTACCACATACAAATTGTCCTGACAAGAAAAGGCACTCAGTTAGCACTAATTCTTACAGTAAAAAATCAACTACTTAAATTTTCTAAGAGTGAAACAGAAAAACTAAATGAAAGGAAATAATGGCATAGTTCCATAGTGCTGAAATAGAAAGCAAAAGATACCACCAGCATCAGAAGCTACTCCATGTTAACACAGATAGAGTGAATGAGGGGAGTATAAGAGACGTGAAAAAAATGTCTCAAAGAAAGCTGCCTAAAACAGCAGGAGGCTGATAGTTCATTGTTATTATTAACGGCCAGCAATACTGACACAGCAATTTTATGGAAGAAAAATTCACTACTAATTTCCTTAGAACATTTTGATATCAAAATTAGAATAAACTTTATCTCCTCCCCTTGACCCCCAGTCCCCCACCCAGTGACCCCTCTTGTTTCATACTTTTCACTCTCCTCCTCCAGCAAATCATAACTACCAAAACCCTACAACTGTCAGCTTTGTAAAAATCACTCTTTTAACTGCATCACAAGTTGTTCTCTTCATATATTGATGTGGAACAACTTGGACGAAAGCAGAAATCTAAACACTTGCTAATCAGAATCAAAACATTAATTAAAAATATGATCAACAAAGACTGCTTTCCTTCACAATTATAGTCCACTTCCCGAGAAGTTATCTGTTCCTAATGCTTATACATAAAATGGAGAAATTTAGGCCCTACTTGAGCCCCATTATTTCCTCATTAACATGAAAAATATGACCGTTATCCATCGCATCAAGCCACCATATTTGACTTTTTATCTCTTATGTAGGGCCTAAAACGGCTATATTTTTCATTCTCATTTTTACAATAATGTGGCTCAAACGGGGGCTTACCTCAGATCATAATACCATGGATATCTCATGGCCTCAATTATACATTAGGTTCTATATGATTTCGTCATCCACACATATGGTAATGTATATAGCTTGTTTCCCTTTTTTATGAGGTTAAAGATAAATAATCCTCAAAGCTCTGAATGATAAAAGTTGCAGTTGGTTGGTGGTTCTATATCATTCCTCCTAATTTTAAAAAGATGCAAGAAACATTTGTGCTCTGGCATCTCACCAGCCATTATGAAATATGAACAAGACAGAAATTCAGAAACAGATTTTTCAAACTACACTGTTATTTTTAGCCAAAATGATTATTTGTCAGCTATAATGTAATTTTGTGAATGTATCATCCAAAATATAATAGAAATCGAATGCCCTGGAATTTTAAGGAAATATTCTGATGGCTCAAGAAGTGAAGACACATGAATTCATGATTGGCTAAAATATTGAAAGAGAAAATACAAATGTACATATAAACAATTTATAATAGGTAAACTGAACCATGTAGATCTAGCAAGTTTGAAAGATTGGCTATAATTTCAGGCAATTAATAAAAATGTTCTACAATAAAAATTTATTTTGTGTTCGAAGTAGCTAGTAGAGTGTACAATAGAAATGTATTCAAATTGCTTCATCTTCAGATTTGAGTAGTCAAACAGGTTCCCATTGCAAGGAACGGAGATAGGGGAGCAAGAAATAGAATGCATTATTTGATTGCTATGGATAGAAACACTTTCACTGCTATCCAGATTGTTACTGGAAAAAGTTTGATCATAATTTGAACTTTGTTCAACCACTCAATTGATAAATGAGAAATAAGCCAACTTTACGCTCCTAATGTCTCAAAAAAAAATTCAATATTCTGCAAATCAATCAAGTGCAAGTACTGACTTAAAGCCTGTTTTTACAGACTAGCTATTATGGGAATTGTTCTAGCTCGTTTAGTGAATATGGAGTAGCAGGTATGCAGAATGAAAATAAAAGAAAAAAATGTCAAGAAGAGCAATCAAGAGAACAATTGATACAACATGAAAATGCACAAGTTTGTAATGAGCAAATTATTCTTATAGAATCATTTGAAATAAGATATACCTTTCCCAGACATTACTTCCTTTTCAGTTCTCCATCTCAGACCAATCTAAAAAAAAAAACAAGTATGACTTAGATAACGTTTTAACAAACTAGAATTTAAGCATAAAATAAAACCAAATATATTCTCAATCACGTGTATGCTAATGCCATGCTCAAACAAATATGTAATAGAAACAAATGAATGTTCCAATATATTTGTCAGTCTCAAAACATGTATGTCTGCCCTCTGCAGGATGTACAAGGCAGATGACATTTATAAAACTTCTTTCATCTTCCAAAATGAACAAACTCATAAAAGTGTTTTGCCATATAAAAGATAGTTAAACTATGGGAGCATATGTACTAATCCACAAGTATTCTCAGCCAGAACTTGTCTAAGTGTACTTTAAGGTTGGCTATTGGGTTTGAAGCCAAGCCCCAACTGCCTTACAACAGAAATTTTATAGATTGTTTTGTACTGTCCAAAAGGAGCGTATTGTTACCGGATAGAGTCTGCACATTCTCCTATCTATTTTGAGTTGTACATCCGAAATAAAAGTAAAAAGTAAAATAAAATAAAATTTGAAAAACAGAAAGTATTGAGGCTATCGCATGCATGCATACCTACCTTACCAGTCTTGTAGTGAGACATATCAGCTATGCAGTATCTTCATTGAGTTAAAGATATGAACCTTAAAACACCAGGTTTTATACAAGACGTGATAGCAAATAGCAACAAATCACAATTGTCTGGAAGCCATTAAATGCTAGGCATGTGCCACAGAACAGAAACAGATAAATTATGCACAGTCAGAAACCCACCAACTGAAGAACAAACCAACTTGCATGACTTGGATAGTGCTAGTTTACAGAGCAGACATTAATGTGCTAGACAACATGATAAAATTTAAAAATGTAACTAAACAATGTAAATGGAGGTAAAAACAGATTCATTTTCCTTTATTCTTTCTGCAAGAACAATGGCATTGCAGGTGTGATACCCAACAAAGGCTTGCACATTTGGTGACTGTTGAACACCATTCATTTGAGGGAATGCTCTTTTATTTTACATCGGAACAGTGTAGACAAAACAATCAACGTTGCTTATCTATGAATATGTCCATTCTCCCCCACTAGTAGCTCCTCCAAGAGCTTAGTGTCGCCTTTATGCCATGTAAAAGTTGCTATAACATTTGTCAACTGATGCATAATTTTAACCCCCTGTTTGACCCATTCTCTAAAAACTCATTTTTTCCAAAACTCATTTTCAACCATACATTTGTCCAATAATTTTGCAAGTAAACTAAAACTTTTTCCTATTTTTTATAAACACTCATTCAACAAAAAACCATTATTACAAAACTCATTTTTATGAAAAATTGGTCTCAAACACACTTTAAAAAGAATCGTAACAAAGACGTGTTAATAGACCCCAAATGCCAAATATAAGAGTAGAGTTATTCCCAATGCATATAGCACAAAGGACTTGTTTCCAGAACAGCAAAAGATAACATGGTGACTTCAAAATAAAGAATCTTAAACATTAATGCTGAATTTAAGAATTAAAAAATAAATTCCAAAAATGACAGAGCGGATCACATTGCAAAGGATACTCTTTAAAGAGCTTGTCATAGTAGCGCTTCACCAGCCTTTGCTCCCAAGACGGATTCATATCATCTTCTTCCGTTCTTATAAATCTTTACTAAATGATAAAATAAAGGTTCCCAAAAAAAAAAAAAAAAAAAACAACAACAACAACAACAATTTTAGCAGATGACCAGAAGCAAAACTAAAATTTATTACGAAATCAACCATGAAAATAATGGAACTTGTTGCATATGTATAGCTATTAAAACATATCGTATTATTAAAAGAAAACAACTATAAACAGACAATGGAAACACTTTCAACATAATAATGCCTATCCGGCTTATATTCGCTATCGCTAATGACGTGTATTGTAGTCGTAGTCTTTTAGTTGGCCAAACAATATAACAAGTATTGAAATAAACAAACAACATTAGAAATCAGAAATATCAGCACAGAAAGGTAAACAGTTACATGAATAAGATACGAGTTACTTTAGTTGCTTCCTCATCCAGTGTATTCCACAGAGCAGAATATGATTGTAAAATGTACTCAAAACAAATTTAACAAGACCAAACGCAAAAAGGTCCCATGTATAGGACAACTCATCTGTACTCTAAAAGAATTGTCAGCATAGTCAACTAAGATTGAATCCAACCATCCATTTATAAATGCATCCTAGGAAACAGCTTCATCAACCTTTATTACCCACGATGTTTTCACTTTTCTAAGCTACTGGAGATGTGTTCCTATACACGCGCAGCACATATTTTATAGAAACATGGGTTTTTGCATTGCTCATTATGGCTGTAGTGATATTAATAGCGTCATAGTACAATTAGTTCATTTTCACCAAATGGGAACTAAGCACACGTACACATTTTATACGAGGTGACTTTTACAATAGAAGCACTACAGAGGCATTACTGCAATTTAGCTACCAAAAACTTCCCAGGTGAATAACTAACGAAACTGAAGATAAACCATCTATAACAAGTACCAAGGCACATATAGATTCTCTTTTATTGCAACGATTTTCCTTATCAGTATCTTGCACTCTTTGCATCACATTCTACCCTTTCTTCATCTTCATCCGACCACAGCCTAAAACTTCTCCAAATGATTTCATTGTCTTTAATTCTACTTCTCCAGAACGTAATATCATTTCTTCTTCTAGGGATGTTAAGTGGAACCACAAGTGAGCCAGCAGATTTTTTGTGCGAGCCACTTGCTTGCACAAGTTGGCACACGAGCCGACCTTGTAAACAGTGGGAAAAAATTTAGATAAAAAAAGAGCGTGCTTGCATGGTGGGCCGGGCCTAGCCCAAAAATGGGCGAGCTCAGTGGCTTGACTCACACCCTACTTCCTTCGAACCATTAGGATCCCATTCCAAAATGGAAACATTTGAGGCTTAATTGGCACTACTCCCTGAACCAAATAACTCTACTACTGAAGCACAAGTCTTTGAACTCCACAAGATATTAGCCTTATCGCCTTGGGAGAAACATTTTTCATTATACATACATCCATATCCTCAATGTCTTGCCCATTTTAAATATTCCCTAGCATTATTTTTCTTGAAAAAGGTTATCCAGTACTCCCCCATCCCAACACCCCCTCCCAAAAAATAATTTAAGTGAAGATCCATTCTCATAAAATTGCTTCTTATACACATTACAAAGAAAACACACTTCAGTAGCTGCACAATATCATGCTCAATCTTATTATATTCAGTAAAGTTCAGGATTATGAATATATATATTAAGTAGATGATATGGTATACAGAAAATTATAAAAATAGAAAGAGTGACAAGGAACACATACCGATATCCCTCTCTGAGGGTGTCTTGATCTGTTTTAACTGGCAACTTATCTTGTGCAGATTTCTCTTTTCCATAAAAGCCAACTGCAAGTAAACACTTTCTTGAATATACATTAAACCAATTAGGAAAACAGAGTCAAGAAGCTAATACTGCTGTCTTTTCTGCTAAATACTGCAGAAGAAAATTAGAAAAATTAAAATCCAAATTGTTGTAATCCATCAGTTTACAATCTCAGTATCTCATGGAGATAGCAATATCAGCAAACCACAAGTGTATTTTAATAACTTTTTTTGAAGTTTTTGCATCTTTTCCAATTTAGTCTTAAGAAAATAATAGAAAAGGGATTCATGGATTTGAGTAGTTGACCCTAAATTTTAGGGCATAAAGCTTAGATTTTTGCAATAATTCCATTTCGTAGTCGAACCCAAGTTATCATTTTTTTTAATATCAAACCCACTGCCTTGAGACAAGGGAACTGGTATAAATTGCATGAAATCAATAAAGATATATTTAATATGCACTGCAAATATGCAAACTAGGGCATCTCCAACCCCGTCCCCATTGCACCATAATTCACCAAACTGGTTAAATACCTTTTTGCCCTTCTCTTCCACTTTGCACCAATTTTTGTTAAGGGTATACTTTTCCATTTGTTATACAATAAATTTTAATTCTAAATAATAATAATAATAATATTTTTTATTGTTGTTGTTGTTGTGTGCTGTGTGCACTTGTAATAAATTTTAATCATTGAATCATTAATAATTAGTTGTGAATACTATTTCAACTTTGTAATATCAGGATATTGCGATTCGAAACGTATTACACTCTTTTTTAATATTATGATTTAATATTTTGTATTTCTATTAATTGTCCTACATTTCTTAAATTGATTAATGAATGAAGTATTTTTATTAAATAAACGCAATTATTTATATAATAATTTATGTAGTAATAAAATAAATAAATAAATGATTTTTGAGACAAATAAATTATTAAGAATTAAAAAATGAAGAAAATTAATAAGCACTATTCATTTGGTACAACTTTTAGTGTAATGGGTTGGAGATGATTTTCTATTTGGTGCAAAATGGTCAGGGTTGGAGATTGGCCTTAAACTCAGTGAATTGAGGAGAGTTTAAAAGAGTTGCAAATAGTTACATCAACAACGAAATCATTATTACTAGACACTGAACCTATTACACAATATCACTACTACAGTTTCAAAACAAAATACAGATATACGAAATTGAAGCAGGAAAGTGAACCTGACCATAATCATTCAAGAATTTCTTGTGGCGATCGAATGCGTTTAGGCCTCGTATATGAGATTGATACTGCCTGGGTGTAAAGTAAATAAAAATCAATCAGCCCAATTCAAGAACTAAAAAATTACGCAGGCATAGAGACAGGGAGAGAGAAAAGAGACTGTTTTCTGGCTTCTTTATCGAAGATTGCTTGCTTGAGAGACCCAAAAGATGCCATCTGCTTTTTCCTCCTCTGAATGATTCGAAGGATTGACCATAAGAAGGGAAATTTTTCACGTCGCTTCGATTTCTCGTTTCCCTTCCTCCTCCTGGGCTTTCCAACAGGGAAAAATGCACCACTGAACTTTAACCTATAAACTCTGTAGCAACTTGATCCTCAACCTGGTTTGCTTAACAACATGGACCCGATATATTAGTTTTGGTGTGTTGGTACTCCGCTGAGACGATTTTGTCTATTTAATTGTTTAAAGTAAATTTTTTCTTTGTTTGTATCCTTAATTTAAAATATACATAAAAAATTAAAAGGAGATAGGAAAATAAAAACAATTCTGCCATAGAGAGTTAGAGACGGGCTCAAAAATGAGTTTTTTTTATGTGTACAACAATTTTATACATCAATTTTGACAGTTCTCTTACATGGGGTGGGACTAGTGATTATTTTAAACGTGGCCCACCATCTCATGTGAGAATGCTGTCAAAAATGGTGCACAAACCCACAACAAAATTCCTCAAAAATAGGGTGAATACATGTCGAAATATGATTTGACACTTTGAAAAAAAAAAAAGGCAACGAATTTCGGCCAAATCAATTTGTCCTATGATTTCCTGTTTTTTTAACCTATTTAACTGGCTTTATTCAAATAAAAACTCACCTTGCATTTCCAAGAACCAGCCCCACTACTTATCGTTCAAAGCAAGTTTCACAAACCACTAATAGGAAACATTTCAAAATAAATAGAATAGATTACCGCTTGACAAATACGTGTTGATGCAATATCAAGGAGTGCTTGGCATCATACAACGTGCAATGAAACATTTTTAGTTCCATGATTGAGGAAGCTTTATTTTTTATTTTAGTGTGACCTTCAACCATACTTTTTCAGGATTGTGTTATTTAACCATAACATTCTTCTTTTCACTTACCTGATGTTTAATTATATTTTTCACCATTATGATAAATAATGAAATATTTGGGAAGTAAAAGAAATTAATGTGCTTAGCTCTTAAGTCTTAAAGCCTGTTTGGGAGTGATTTTGAGAATTGATTTTTTGACCGTTACGAGAAAAGTGGGGTCCACCTGTGAGAGAAGAAGTCAAATATGACGGTTGAAATAGTGAAATAACGGTCAAAAAATCAATTTTTTGGATGAAAAAATCCGGCCCAAACAATCTCTTAAAGTGAACATGGAACCAGTTTCAATCCCTACATCTTCATATGTTGATAAATTCAGATGTCCATCTTTTATTTTCCTAAGATGCAATACTCAAATTTATGAATACGATATGTGTTTGATCTCTATTTGATCCCAACCATGAGATGGGGTCAATCTCAAGCTCCACTTTGAAATCCATTCAAATCTAGTATTGAAATCTAGCTATTAAACTAGTTAGCTCCATCATCACAACACTAAAGCAAATGCTTTAAGTAAACAAATAAACGCGACAATTTATTTATTTATTTATTTATTTTGAACTTTTCATTTTCGAAAACGGGTCAAATGCAATGTGGGTCATTTAATTTTGAGCAAAGATGCATCTATTTTTTTTTTTTAATTATTCGCTCATTTTTAATTTGGAGCAATCAAGTCACCCAACTTCAACTCGCTTGCAAATCTAGTCATCCTCTGAATTAATTCATCACTTTAACTAATGTAATATGCTAATCTGGATATTAAAACTAACATGATTACCATATATGTCCACGTTACACAACAACGCATAATTCATCTTAATCTTAATTTTGTTTTTATTTTTTTAAAATCGTATAAACAAAAATAATATTTTATATGTAAGCTATTCTAAATAACATTGAGCGGTTTAGCATATTTTGTTAATTAACTGACAGTTATGCACAAAGTGACAAAATCTACAAGCAAATCAAAATCGGATGACCTGATTGATTGATTTAAAGAAAAGTGACCAAATTTAAAGTATATTAAAGTTGGATGATCTGATTGTACCAAAATAAAGAGTAGTAACCTGAATGCACCATCACTAATAGTTGGATGGCAATTATTTGTCAATTACTGTGGAGTTTTAGAAAAAAAGAAACACTTTTTAATCCACCACATATAAGAAACATACTAAATTTAAAGTGCAAACACAAATATTCATATGTTAGTTGTCTCATGGTTCGTAGATACGAGTGTGTTCTTTTCGTGTTTTAGTTTTGTAATTTTGAATTTTGAATTCATTTTGAATTTTGTGTTTTGAGTGTGTATTTTGAAATTGTTAAAAATACGTTCTCTTTCACATTTTGAAAAACGTTTTTGAAAACAAAATAATGGAAAACGTGTTCACTATGAAATTATTTGAAATTTTGGAAAATCACCAGCTCCACCACAGAGACAACCACCGCCATTACCATCGACCAAAATCAACACCACTGTCACTACCATCAACACCACTACCACCACCAACCATTAACCACTGCCGCCACCTTGAATTACTCACCACTAGCAAAATCAACCAAAATCAATAATACCCACCACCATCGTCAACCACCCACAACAAAGACAACCACCGTCATTACCATCGACCAAAATCAACACCACTATCGCCACCATCAACCATCAACACCACTGCTACCACCCTGAACCACACACCACTTCCAAAATCAACTAAAATCAACACCACCACTATCAACCACTACCACCACAAATAGATTATTACATTCACATCGCCGCCACCATCAACACCCTCTCAGATCCAAAAAAACAAAAAAAAACCCCAAAAGAGAAAGAAGGCAAAATTTGGACAAATTTGTAGGTGACCCATCGCCGTCAAATCCCCATCGCGATGAACTGCAGCCTCTCTCTCTTCGACCGCAGGCAGAGATGGGCCCAAACCACAGCAGCGTCCTCTCCCTTGGGTTGCGACACTGCTTTCACAACAACGTCGCGTCCCCAATCTAGCGTCGGCACCGATGCATCTCCTTCGTCACTGATTGAAGTGTGCGACTATCCATAGCCGGCGTTGATCATCCACAGTCGGCGACCAGGAGAGAGAGAAGGTAGAGAATGGTTGGAAGAAAGTGACGAGATTTGATTTTGTGTTTCAAAATGTGTTTTCCGTGTTTTGTATTTTTTTCGAGTTTTGTACAAAAAATAGCCAAAACGACATTTTTGTCGTTTTGTGTTTTCAGTACAATTTTTTTTTTTTAAAAATGTGTTTTCATCGTTTTGAAAAGTCGAAAACAAAAAACGGTCCGAAAACAACAAAGAAAACGCACCCTACACTTTGTGACATTACATTACCAAAATAAATAAATAAAATTACAATGTAATAGAAATTGAAATATTAGAAGTTATTAAATTGAAATTGAAAATTTAGAAATCAAAATTTTATTAAGCACACGAAGCATAAAAGATATCATGTTTCAACCGTACACATTCTACTAGGAAAATTGAACCATTTATCCCAATCCATGAATGTAGTTGCAATATTATCCTCATTCAAATTTTTTGTTGGCAACATGATATCCAACTTACAGGTTTAGGTGGCGAATAAATCCTCTTGTACACCGAGTCTTACAATAGTAAAAGAAAGGTGATTATATTGACTAACATTTTTTTCTGTGCTAGTGTTGACACATGGATTGAACGTTTGTTGCCTACTGTTGGTGTAAAAAATTACAACTCTGCTATACGTACAGAAAATGGGTTGCCATAATTGATACAGTACTTGGCAACAATTTGTCAACTAAGAACAAAAAAAAAAAAAAAAAGGAGCAGAAAAGAGGCAGCATCTGGTGTGTTTCTGGCAGCAATTCCTAAATGAATTGTTGAAAAAGTTATATGTTGTTGGGAGGTTTTAGCTTCGTTATTTAATTTTTTTAATTAATTTCTAATTCAAATATTTTTTCAATAAAATAATTTCACATATTAAATTCAAAAAAGTTTCATACTTTTAACCACGTGTATTTTCGAATAAATCATTATTACAAAATCCACTCTCCTAAAAATTAGACTCAACCAAACCTTAAATTTTACTTTTGCGCTAATCTTTCTTAGATATGTGTGCTTAACAATTGTTACGATGGCAGAATGTTTTTTTTTATTTGTTGTAAAAAGTAACTATGAAGTATGTTGACCTCAAAACATGTGCCAACAGAATTCTGAACTCACCCTCTCCACGTAGACATCACTTGTAAATGAACATCTCGTTAGAAGGCAGAGGTCATCGATAAAAAAAAAATATCCGACGATCACTTGCACATATATATAGAGAAGTGGAAGTGGGCTGCATAGTTTAGTGAAAATGGACCCAAGTTCAAGCCTAGAATGTAATTGTTTAATTAAATGAGTCCAACCAATTAAATTGTCAATGCTATGTCGACCAATATGAGACCCTCTCCATCAAGTATATGCCACGTAATTTATAGGCAGAACAATAGTCTCCTAAGCCTGAGATGTATATTCATGTTTGAATCAAAATTCAAAATATAAGTAGTCAACTAGGTAAGATATTACAGATTGCCTAAAAAATATAAGCGGCTCCAATATAAAGACTTACGGATTGCCTTAAAAATATCTATGCAAGCTTGAATAAGTGAGGGTTTGCAGATTGCCTCGAAAGATAGATATCGTATATAATTTGTCAAAACTACATCAGCATTCTCTCTGTAATATGGACTAAACAAACCTGTAATACAATACAATATATCCACTGCAAATATACAAAATGAATTTTGGGGTGCATTACCCCACCAAATAATGATAATAAAGAAAAATAATGATAGTTTAAATTTTAAAAAATATAATGTACAGAGGGTCTGTCATGAATTATAGTAAATCATATGTTCGCGCAGCTAGTGTACTAATATGAAGCAAGTAACATGTTCACAGTGTAGAAAATGTTATATACGTACTAACAGTGATTAAAATAATGTTATGACACTCATACTTGGCAGTAATAACGTAATGCATATGTTATTAATAATGTAATGGTACAAATATATTGGTATCACAATAGTCTACGAGTCAAATACTTATATATGAGTTGGACTTGAAATGTAAGCAATTGAATCTGCTGCAAAGGTGAAACCCCAAATATAAGCAGCAGAGTCAATGCTCTGAATGTAAATAGTAGAGGCGGTGCTCTGAATGTAAGTAGAAAAGGCGATTGTTTGGACATAAGTTGCATAGGCGGTGCTCTAAATGTAAGTAGCAAAGGTGGTGCTTTAAATGTTAGCTATAGAGGCGATGCTCTAAA